TTTAACTAGACATGCAGTATTCAGTACCAATTTAACATACGAGTGAATCACAAAAATCTTACGTCCAGGAAAAAAATAAAGTTAAATCTATTAAAAAGCGAACCCGTTAAAGTAATTATCTCAGATAGTTGAAATTCCTATAATCCGGAGCAATTAAGATGCTACAACGTTTTTGTCAAAGCCCTGGTATAGAACGTAGACCTGTTTAGTTAAGGCGAGATTTATTGCAAAAAATGGACCATTTAAAGAGCTATGAAAGAGGAAAGACATCAAGAAGATTCTTATATAACGATGACGTAATAATAATAAATAAATATGTTGGGACATTTCACACAGCACCATCTAGTTCCATGGTAAACTACGAGGCTTGTGTTATGGATACCAGATAGTTGATACACTACACATAAATAACTTTAAAATGTAATAAATATAAATATATATAGTAATGTGTAGCTTGCCTACTTTTTCTAACATCGATAACACTAAACAAAATAGAAAATTAACGCGCTCGCTTGGAAAACTAAGAAAAATGTATTGAAAAGCTCCAGTAATATGCTTTATGGACAAAAAAGCTAAAACTATGTATTTAAAAAAATATTATATGTTGTTTTTTTGTACTAGCCTTATAAGAGAACTTAATAACATACAGATTTTCAGAATAGCATAACTTATTTATTGTATTCAGCCCTTTTAACATCCCACTGCTGGGCACGGGTCTCCCTTCATATTACTTATTTATTTATTACGATTGACTTACTTATTTATTACGACTGTTAAAATCTGTGCCCTTAAATGTTAACTGTTATTTCAAAGTAATCTATAAGTACCTAGTAATAATATTTTCTTAGATTTACGCGAATATTTGACATCTATACATATAATAAAATTCTAACAGAGACGAATCTGTACATCAAATATGTTTTGGAAAATCTTATTGAAATAGTCATTATTGTCATACAGATGTTAGTATTTTGGTTTGTTTTTTTCTCTGTCTGTCTGTCTGTCTGTGAACGCATCATGAGAAAACCATTGAAGAGATTTTGATGAAATTTTGTATGATGATAGCTGGTTACCCGGGCCAACATATAGAATATTTTTTACTGCGGGAAAATATTTAGTCTCTGAGAATTCTATACTAAACATTAATACGTAACTAGGGACGAACCCGGGTGAGTCGTTAGTTTTAAATAAAACAAACTTTTCGGATTTTTCCGCGAATTTATTTCGATCTCTCTCTCTCTCTCTCTCTCTTTGGTGACCATGATTGCTGAAAAGCGTCCGATACGTCGGGTACCAAAATCAAAATAAAACCACAAAAAAAAACAAAGATAATTTTATTTACGTAGTAATATTTAAAGCTCAAGAGATATTTGTATATCGTTTGTTTGAACTCGCTAATGTCTGAAAGTACCAAACTGATTTGACCAATTCGAATTTTTGTATTTAATAGCCCGTTATTTAGGAAGGTATGTTATGTATTAATATCACGCTTAGGAGTGGAGCTGTTGTAGTACAATACATTTATACACAAGTAGAGACACAGGCAAAATCTAGTATTTGTTAATATATATAATATGTTTTTCATACAAAAAAATAATTTAAAACTTTCAAATTGTTTAGAAGCTTAAATGCTTTAGTATACTTTCTTTTGGTCCCTAGAAAGAATAAGTTTTTCCACTTTACATTTATGAATGATAAAATGCTTTAACTTCAAGTCCCTTGTTAACTCTTGGCTCATCTTGTGCATATTCAACACAAACTCATTTAAGTTAGACACTCCGCTAAGTTCAGAATTGCATGAGAATCGATAGTACGTGTAAATTAACTTCACACTGCATTGATAATCAAAAATTATCATTTTTTCATTAAGTATTTGTCCGTCTGTCTGGAAACGCATCACGAGAAAATCTGACCACTGGGGTCAGATTTTATGATGATAGCTAGTTATACTTATAGTAGTTAACATATAGTATAATTTTTACAGAGGAAAAATATCTCATCTCTCATCTAAAAAATCTATATTAACCTTAAAACGTAGGGACTAACCCAAGCGGAGGAGTGAGTCGTTAAATAAATATACAAAAAATAGCATCGTGAACAAAAAAAAGTGATTTTCCTGTAAATACTGGTAATTTTTATCAGAAAAAAATATAGATAATATACAATTTAAATGCAATCTATACTTATGCTGGAAACTTCGTAGCACCAACTATTTCTAAGAAACTATAGGCTGTCGTGCTGCGAGCCCATAAAGCGATGCACATGCGAACTACTCATTTGAATCAAAGTCTCCGCAACAATATTATACATAATTTCAAATTAACGTAACAACATTATTTGAACATTCAGTGTAACATAAAAACTTTGGATTTAACTTCGCTAAGAACTCTTTTCTTATTGATCCAAATATTTTTACTGCTTCAGAAACACATTAAAAGTATTATATTCTACATAAACAAGCGGATTTTTCTTTAATGTTTATGGAACCATTCTGTTATACAATCTGTACGTGTTATATATAAAATGGATTTTTAGGAGTTCAAAAGGGAAAGATCCTGAATTCTTAATGATACGTATTTATCATTATTTAGATTTGAATCGAAAGGCTTAGTCAAGAATATATCTATCTCATATTTATTACCTACATTCTATTTTATAATTAACCCAGGACACAGAAAGAGGTGTTATAAGTTTAACGTGTACCTGTGTATCTGTCTGTGGCTTCGTAACGCCCAAACGGGTGAACCGATTTTAATTTAGTTTGTTTTATTTGATAGGCGAATTAATCGAGAATATTTTTATTTATAAATCAAGAAAAATATATATAAATCAAGAAAATCTGTTCAGCTGTTAGCAGGTCATCAGCTCTTATTTAGGATAAAAGGAAATGAGCAACTTCCAAAGATCTAATCGATCCCAAACTTGGTATCATGTTACTTCAATGACATTGCAATTATATAGTAATCTTGGCCTGATGCTGCAGCGTCACTTGGAATCTGCAAGATACTTAACTCTTTACTTATATCTTAACTCTATACTGCAGACATGTCGTGTTTAAGCTCATTGAAATGACCTCCTTAAATAAGTATGTTATATAATTTTTTATTTCAATTTCTTGTATTAAATGATGGTGATTGTAGAATGTTATCTAAAGGATTTAACAAAAACAACAGGTACAGGATATCCCGCAAGGCAGTTGTTTTTCGAAAACATAACATAATTGTTATATGTTTATCAAAATTGGCTTCGGAGGTTTTAATTTGATCCCTTTTTGCGATTACGTATAAATGCTCATAGGTAATATCTCTACGCTCTGTATAATTAATTGCTCCACTCCTAAGGACCGTAGCGTAGATAATAAATAATTGATAATCTTTCTCAACTAGTTAGCTTTTTTCTGTATAGATATCATCCAAATTGATTTTTTTTATACATCTACAAGAAATAATATCTTTTTCAAATAATTTTATCTATAAATATAATAAAATTCTGGGTCGAATCTGTACATCTAATATTTTTCGGAAAATCTTTTTGAAATAGTATATATATGGAATTATATAGATTTTAGAATTTTTGTCTGTCTGTCTGTCTGGGAACGCATCACGAGAAAACCACTGGACCGATTTTGATGAACTTTGGTATGATGATAGCTAGTTTCCGTGTGAACATATAGGATACTTTTTACTGCAGGAAAATATCTTTGAGAAATCTTTATTAACCGTTGAAATGTACCTAGGGACGAACCCTTGCGGAGCAAGAGTGAGACGCTAGCTATCTATAAGTACTTAAATAAACAAAGACAAAATACTTCAATGCCTTTTTTTTGTTTTTTTTTTGTTTTTGTATATTACTGTATTTTTACTGTATAATTTTATCACTACACAAAAAAACTGTTTATATTTTATCACATATAAGATAGATATCAGAACCGTGATTGGCACTATAGTGTAAATCAGTCCTTAATGGGGCACCGCAAAATCACTTATGCACTACTTGAAATTTAAGTTAAATATTAGATGCAAGTTTTTCTGGAAGCTTGAAAGTTTTAAAGTCAGAATTATGGTAATTGATATTTTAGCTTGTTTGTATCGTTACCGGCAAATCCCATCGGACTCACCGGTGCTTTTAAATTACAAAACCACATGTTTGGTTTCAAAACAGGATGAAATAATCATATATTCATTTGACTGAACATCTATACGCTAATATACAGTAATATTATCTACACGATATTACTTAGTTTTCGTTTCTGAATAAGAAGCATTCTTAACAGAGTTTGTCAGTTACCCGCTTACATAGTATATACTTATTATATATTTAGTAATTTAAAGCTAGTGTAAATGCGCGTTCTTAAAAATCCTCGTTTCAAATTAAGATCTTATAAAAAAGTTACCTATGCCACTCTCTCGACCATAAACAACATACATACATACGTATGAACATATGTCTATGCAAAAAATTACTTCGATATTTTGTTCCATTCCCTTGCTAAAGAATAACAAAACAACAAAACAATGTTGTTCACATTGGAAATAATCTAACTAATAAGTTTGGTTTGTACTTTAATAAATAAACACAACACAAATTTGTTAATTATTTTATATTAAATATGCAAAAAGACATACCTAAGCAATAAAAGCAACATAAATAGTAAAATTAAATAATAATTTATATAAATAATAGTTTTAAATATTAGTAAAAAATGTTCTTCATCTATACATATAATAAAATTCTAAGTGATTGTGATTAAAACCTGTACATTAAAAATATTGTAGAAAATCTTATCGAATATAATCGATACAGAGACCACCGCATTTATAGTTTTTTTGAATTTTTGTCAGTCTGTCTATCCGTTTGTCTGGGAACGCATCACGACAAAACTACTTGACAGATTTTGATGAAGTTTGTTATGATGATAGCTGGTTATCCGGGTCAACATATAGGATACTTTTTACTGTAGGTAAGCATCTCATCTCTGAAAAATCGAACTCTATCTATTATATGATCCCCAATTCAATAAAATCATCGATGATCCCTTGCATTCTGTTATAAAAATTTTCATCCACTTTTATCGGCATTTCTAAAATATCATCTTTACTAAGATCTGGTACGTCATCACATATGAAAAACATTGGCAGCATGTATAAAGTGTACATTAATGCGTAGTCTAAACTATTCTGAAAACAAGTATCGAAGTCCTCTTTTGTACAAAATTCAATCACATCAATATCGAAATAGCCTAAAAAACATTTTAAGCTATCAAAATAATAATCTTTAAGGTATATTAAATACTTTTTTCTAAAAGATCTATCACTAGATGCATATAAGAAGTATATAAGATCTATTACAGGACATCCGTAGTAGATTTGTTGGAAATCGATTGGTATCACTTCTGCGATGACTCCATCCTGAAAAAGAAAATATATGTATGTATATGTTACAAAAATTCAAAAACCTAGTTTATGCATACCTAATTAGGGCCACGTCTAGATGGAAAGTAATACTGAAATTATGAAATTTCGAATGATCTTATCTATAATATCGATTGTATTCAGCCGTTTTTAACGTCTCACTGTTGAGCACAGGCCTCCCTTCAATACGAAGGATCAGATTCATTGAAAGTGTCGAACTAGAAATGTTTAGATTTCAAAATTTTATCACAATTAAAAAATGCTGGTATTGTCAAGTGGTTTTCGATGTTTATTAGATTTTTGCAAACAGTCACACATATACTTTGCCAAAGCAAGGACGGGTCGGGAGTTTACTGTAAAACCTATAACAAAATAAACTCTTTAAATATTTTATTAATACTAGTGTAACATTACATTACGATTGGTTAGAGAATCAATTATCCTTTCATTAACTCACGCCACAATTCCAAATAAATTTTCAAGCAATATAAATTACTTACGCAGTAAATTAAGCTTGTTACAATTTGTGAAAATTATTTCGAAAAGTATTCGTTTTTCTTAATAGATACAATTTAAATTAATTCATGTTACACTAGCGAAAAACGAAAACGAACCTCACCCACGGGAATCATACATTTTTTCGGGATAAAAAGTAATTTATCTATAATCTATCTCTATGCCAAATGTCATCCAAATCTGTTCAGCCGTTATGGCGTCATTGAGTAACTTTCGCATTTATAATATTAAATAAGTAGCGGCTCACCCTCGCTTCGCTCGGTTTCCCCTCTGAAAAACGTAAACAAATCTATCCCACGGGAACCGTACATTTATCAAAGATAAAAAGTAACCATGTGTTACCAGACTATAATCTATCTCTGTGCCAAGTTTCATCTAGATACGTTCAGCCGTTCTGGCGTGATTGAGTAACAAACATCCACCCAAATTTTCGCTTTTTAATATTAATCAATCATTTATACGATGATTCGAAACTAGGTGAAATTACTTCAGTGTATTAGATATTGATTCCTCGGTTAATTAGTTGCCTACTTATTGAATAACTCAGTAAATTCCATAGAACTTCGCCAAATATTTTACTTATGTATTGTATTTGTGATATGTATGCATAAAATGTTAATCTATACATATAATAAAATTGTAACTAAGCCGAATCTGTACATTAGATATTTTTTGGAAAATCTTATTGCAATAAACATTATTATCAATACGGAGGCCGAATCTAGTTTTATTTTTGTCTGTCTGTCTGTCCGCATCACAGAAAAACCACTGGAGGGATTTTGATGAAATTTGGTATGGTGATAGCTGGTTATCCGTGTAACATATAAGATACTTTTTATCGCGGGAAAATATCTCATTTTTGAGAAAAAAATACAAAAACTGCATTGTAAGAGTATACTAATGTGTAAACCCTAAGAATTTGGTGTTTGGTCATCTGAACGCGGGCGGAGCCGCGGGCAATGCTAGTATTGAATAATGATGCTTTACGGTGTAAGAAATAGAATGTAATGAATTTTATTTGCGACACTTTTGCTTTTAGAAGATATTTGGACTAATCATAATGATATTATTGTTGTTATTATGTATATTACTTATTATGATTTACGTGAATATTTGACATTTTAATAAAACTATCTTTTCGGATTTTTTAGCGGATTTATTTTGATTTTTGGTCTCGACGTTTCGAATGGATTACGACTATCATGGTCACGGGAGAAACTAAACAAAATAAATAAATAAAAATATATACGCCAAAGAATGCGAAGAGATAGTTTTATTTAAAATTATTTATAATTTTCTTATTATATTTTATCTTCATTATATTATAATCAAGAAGATATTATTTCCTAAGTGATTATAGTCACGCTGGACTGCGACCAGCCAACAATAAAGGTAAACGACACATAAATAAGACAACACGTTTGGTTCTGGTTTGTAGTGACCCTACTTGCTGTGCCGTTGGTCGCGGATTCAAGTCTCATTTGTGTGATGAGAACGAATGTTTGTATCCCAGTCATGGGTGTTGATATTTATAATATAAATGTATTTAAAGTTATGTATAATATTTATACGTGTAGTGTATCAACTACGAGTATATGGTATCCATCATCCATATCCAACACAAGCCTCGTAGCTTACCATGAAACTAGATAGTTGTGTTAATGTCCCAACATATTAATATTAACATTTGTGTGGTGTGGAAGACGACCAGACCAGAGAATCGCTGGACTGACAGATAAACTATTTTATTAAATATGGGATTGTTATCCCATCAACTTTTTATAAGTGACTAAAAAAAATATTTCTTAAAAACCCAGACGTTTTTTATCCGACTCAAAACGTTTGACCGATAAACTATCCGCTATATCAACAAGTTACACCAACTTATAAGTACCGACGTATTTCACCAATAAAGATGTTTTCTTCTGAATAGTGGATAATTTACTAATAATTACAAATTTAAGAAAAAAATCAAGTAATCCTCCACGATAATGATTGTCAATGGAGCGAGTTTATAGCGAGATAAGAACCTGTATGAATATTATATAAATTTGGATATCTAATCACTGACCTTCATTGCACTAGACAAAATTTGACTCACTCTCATTGTAGTCTCTCAGTATTCATAACAAAATAACTGTATATAATCATATCCGGAGTAAGCACTAATATAAAAATTAAGGAATAGAATGAGTTTGATCAAGTTATGTCATCGTAGTGTCAAAACTTTGCTCATTAATACCAAACAATTGATGCTTGAGGTGCGAAGGAAAAATGAGGAAAATAAAATTTTATTAATAAACTAGCATTGCCCGCGGCTCCGCCCGCGTTCAGATGACCAAAAACCAAATTTGTAGGTTTTACATATTAGTATACTCTTACAATGCAGTTTTTGTATTTTTTCTCAGAAATGAGATATATTCCCGCGGTAAAAAGTATCCTATATGTTGACCCGGATATCCAGCTATCATCATACCAAATTTCATCAAAATCTGTCCAGTGGTTTTCTCGTGATGCAGTAACAGACAGACAGACAAAAAATCTAATAACTAGATTCGGACTCTGTATCGATAATAATGTCTATTTCAATTAGATTTCCCAAAAAATATTTAATGTACAGATTCGACTTAGCTACAATTTTATTATATGTATAGATAACTTTCGTCAATCCTATTGGTCAATTAAAACAATAAACTTGGAAAACATTTGCTTTGGAAGTTTAGAGGGAAAATTTTTAGGAAATAAAGAACTCCTAAAGAAATTCTATGAGTAATCTTGTTGTTATATAAAAATAAACTGACTTACTGTTTCTTTCATTAAAATGTTATTCATTTTGTAATCTCCATGGCATAAAGTTTTGAACGGCATATCCGTCCCATTCATATATTTCGGATATTTCTCCAACGACGAATCAAAGAAAGTCCATATATTCTTTTTAGTTTCGTCATCTAATTTCGCCACTGACACTTTACATATTCTTCTGATAAAATCGTTCCAATACTCATTGTAAACAAATGATTGTTTTATTGGTTTAATTTTCGCGTCAAAATATTCTTGCCTTTTTCTTTGCAACACGAAGGAGAGACCGTGGAATCTTGCAAGTTGCTCAACAGATAGCTTAGCGAATTCTATCGACATAACATCCGACCTGAACATTGTTTTGAACCCCTTCTGAGTTAAGTTCTCAAGTATTATAACCTCTGAATTCGTTTCATCGTAACCTTTAACTAATTTAAATCTATCTTGCAAAGGAATATCAGCTTCATCTTGTAATTCATAGAATATTTTGCCAAGTTCTGTGTAAAGAAATGCTTCTTTTGCGTACACTTCTGGTATTGAGTATACTTTAAAATCGTTGTTGTAAATTATGTGTTTTAGAAATATATTAGTTTCTGTATGAACTTCTTTAATTTTCCCTTTTATGTTTATTTCATATAGCTCACCTAAGAAATTGTTTCCTCCTGTTGATATTTTTCTGGCTTCGACATCGTATGAAATATAACCTTGCTTTTTTATAATATTAAATATTCGTTCTACAATTTTTTCTGAAAATTCTTTATGCAATTTTACTTCGTCACATTTATAGTTAATACGATCCATACTGAACTATGAAAATTATAAAATATTACGAAAAAAAGTTATATAAACAGCACACAGTAAAACAAATATCTAATTTAATCAGCATTGATAGGAGTGATAAAACGTCACTCAGTTGAACAAACGACATTGACGGCTAACATATTCACCGTTTTTTGTACGCGATTGCACAACAATACCTAACATGCAATCTTACAAATAAAAATAAACTTTACATTGCGAAGAACTAAGTTGTAAATGCTTTAGCTGACTTTGATTTTATATTTTTTTCTATATTTAAGTTTTTTTTTGTTGGTCTAGATATGGTTTTATTATTGTTTTACAGTTCTCCGACAGTACACCGAGATTACACGCACTGGGCGACCGCGACCAATACCGTGATCGGAGCGACTGAATATTATTATGATAGTCGAGGATGTATTACGTCCAATAGCAAATTTAATGAAGTTGGTAACAGACCGTCGCGTCGGATACTACTCAGCAATGGATGTCTGCTATTTAGTCTATGCCGTCTATCAACCTATCTAAAAGTTGAATAAAACTAATTAAAAGTTATATAGGCTATATTGTTAATAAAACTAATTAAAAGTGTTCGTTAAGATTAATTCTTTTTATTAAGTTTCTGTCGAAATGAAATATTTGATAAAAATTTCCTTATAAATATTTCCTTGGGCGTATTAAGCAAATAACTTTGATTATCATGAATGACTTTTAACAATGATTTTCACAAACTCACATGATTTTAGAAAATTTAATTACATCTTAGATAAAAAAAAGATAAAAAAGATAATAAAAAATACAACAATATTTTATACGTATAATTAGATGGATTGAGCATTAATATAACAATTAAATTATAATATGCCCCATTCCATATATTCTTCGATAGTCTCATTAACCCTTACTTTATAGACATCATTAACCTTCGCAGAAGTCATATTCGTATCAGTTTTCATAATCTCTGGTTCATCTGTCAGACAGAGGCGCAACGCGTACAGGGTAATAAAAAGCCCATAAAGTAGATTTTCTTTAAAATCTTTTTCAAAGACACTTCTCGGATAAATTTTGCTTATGTCCAAATCAAACATCTCCAAATGCCTTGTCATTGTTTTGTGATAAAGATCCTTTAAATTATCCATATGATTTTTTCTAAACTCTCGATCAGTTCCAGTATAAAGAAAGTGTAAAATGTCTACAATTGGTGAACCGAAACTCACCATTTGATAGTCAACTATTATTGTTTCGATCTCTCCATCGATCTGTAAAGATAAACATAAATATTTTATAGATCTTCATTACAAAAATTTAATATAATATTGCTCAAGGAATAGTAGCGCGTTTGTTTAAAAAAATTAAGTGTGCAACGATTTGTAACTAAATTTGAAATTACTGACATTTTTGCGTATTATATTTTTAACTTTATTATCCAAAATAAATTAGGTTTTTATTAAAATTATCCAAAGATGAGTGAACTTTTGATGCCAAGCAGTAAACTATAATATAGCCAATTCCTTCTCATATAACTTGGAGTTAAATTTGAATAATTATTTTTATTTAAGCAGATATAGAGAACATAGTAGTTTCTTTTTTAATGGAAGAATGAGTTAAATAAGTTTAAAAAACTAGCTTTCAATATGGCCATAATCTAAAGGCGGATTTATGTTTTGAATTATACTTACGTTTTTTCTTAATAATATATTGTTCATCCTATAATCTCCATGACATATGCATTTTACCAATCCCATTTTTCCTGTTAAATGTTTCGGAAATGTTTTTATCGCTTCTTCTATAATATATTCTTTTATAGATTGATCGTTTTGATTAACACATTCGAAAGACTTTTCAATGGAAGATCGAATGGACTTGTTCCACTTATCGATTATAATGTCATTCTCCTCAATGAGTGTATATGAGATTTTGAGAGTTTTGATTTCCTTCTCAAAATAATCTGGTCTCTTTTGTTGTAAAATAAAAGAAAGAGCGTGAAATTTTGCTAGCTCTCTAATTGCTGCTTCGGCAAAATCCAATGGCATTAAATTAAATCTATTTAGTACTTTGAAACCTTTTCGAGACAAGTTATCTAAGATGATTACATGAGAATTGCAATCGTAGCAGTGGGCTTTCCTTAGCCGTTCACTGTTTGGAATACCAACCTCATTGTAAAGCTCGTCGAAAATATTCTGTAATTCAGCATACATGAAAGTTTCCCTCTTGTAACAAGCATCAACATTGACCATTCCTTCAATTATTCCTGTTTCTGGGACAATATGTTTGACAAATATGTTTAGCTCCTTCACACCATCTTTAGTTTTACCTTTTATGTCAACCTCTGTCAAATCACCCAAAAAATTACCACCATTTGTCGAGATTGGGTTGTGGCAAATTTGAAAAGATATGTAATTTTCTTTTTTGATAACATTTTTGATTGACTGTTCCATTATTCGGCATATACGTATTTCCTCGCCAGTATTGCTATACGTATTAGTTTCGTTTGCAAAACGAACACATGTTCTCTGCTCAAACTCCATTTTGAAAAGACTACTTGAAGTTCTATGATATCAATTTTTTCGTTACGCCAATTTATATAGTCTAGCGCAAATATTTTACTCTCCTTGATTTAATAAACATAACGCATGTTTTACACTGTTTTACCGACGAAATAATACTCATTTTTTAATATAATAGATACGAAAATCGTTTCACAAATTTTTCACAAAAAACTATAATAAATCATTTGAAAAAAAAAGATTTTATTAATCAAAAACAAACATGTCAATAAAAATATATTTAATAAAGAAATTTACTGTGACTTTTGTGTGTGTTTAATGACGGCCCGTTTGGCTCACTTTGTAGTGACCCTACTTGCTGTGCCAGCGGTCGCTGGTTCGAGTCCCGCTGGGGGCATTCATTTGTGTGATGAGCACGGATGTTTGTACTCCAATCATAGGTGTTTGTATTTATAATATGTATGTATTTAAAGTTATATATGTGTAATGTATCAACTTATCTGGTATCCATAACACAAGCCTCGTAGCTTACCATGGAACTGTGTGTTAATATGCCAACATATTTATTTATCATTATTATTTATTTATTTTGTCTTAATAAATAATTTAACTATTACCTAACCACAAATAACAAAATGATGCTGTGAATGCTGTCTGTAACAACTATACCTTCGAGACATGTAACACCTCAGTCTCTCCCGTGACCATGATTGCTGTAAAGCATTCGAAACGTCGGGAACCAAAAATCCAAATAAATCCACGAAATAATCCGATATATGTGTAGTGTATCAACTATCCGGTATCCATAACACAAGCCTCGTAGCTTACCATGGAACTAGATGGTGTTGTGTGTTAATGTCTCAACATATTTATTATTATTATTACTGGAGATATTTTGACTTGTACAAGCATTTTTGAATGTCCACTTTAATTTAAATATCAGCAGTGTAGTCTCTCCGTGACGAAACTACTAACGACATGGAAGGCAGTTCTGCTGAGAAGATAACATATAAATGAGAATTGAATAATAGATATAAAGAAGGTGTCTTTATATTGTTTTTAATAATAATTTGTAAAGTGTCAAGATAGACGCGCCTTATTAGTTAAGGTAAACATGATGCAATAAAATGAAAAATGAGTTTGCTTTGCTTAACAAAAAACAGTTATAACATTTGGCATTTACAATCAAATATTTGAAGATTTTTATCAAGATAATGAAACAAAAAAAAGTAAAAAATATTTTTTATTATTATTTATGTATATATTATTTTTATTTTTTGAGGCAGTGGTACCTCAGTGATTATGCGCTTGCTTGGGAAACCGAGTGAAGCGAGTTCAAATTCAGGGTCTCGCACCTCTGATATTTTCATGTGCGAATCATTTTCCTACACGATTACCACTTACGGCGAAGGAAAACTTCGTGAGGAAACCTGCAAACCTTCAAACCTATTCGAAACACATGTGCAGGCAAACCAGAACCTATTCGAAAAACATGTGCAGTCTGTCAACCCGCACTTGGCCAGCGTGGTGGACTATGGCCTGATCCTCCTTGTCCTTTGCCCAGCAGTGGGACATTAAAAAGGGCTGAATATATATATACACATATATATTATTTTTACATATCAAAACTTAAAAAAATAACGACTTCCAGGCACTAAAATGTAAAAAATAACTAAGTAGGAGTTTTCATTTAGAATAGACACCTAATGAGATATTTTCTAAGTCGGTGGCAGCTAAGTTTTTATTTTTTCAATTTTAGTGTTGACGTAATGAGCAGGTAATTAGTAAGAACAAAAGTTTTTTAATAGCATATTTGATTATAAGAATTTATTTAAAAAATATATTTATTTTTGATTTTTTTTAAAACCGCTTGACCGATAAAATGTATATGGGGCCACCAGGGATATACCCTTTGAAACAAATAAAAAAAAGATTCCGACGAATTGAGAACCTCCTCCTTTTTAGAAGTCGGTTAACAAGGTGATGTGACTTAGTCTGGAAATACAAACATTCTTTTTGTTTTACTTTGCAAAGTACTTTTCTTATAAAAACTTTTTTTATGATTTTGAAGTCGGTTAACATTAGCGGTATACGGAAAACGGAATATTCTGTTATTATATTCTCGTCGACGATTACATTGTTTTAAACAATAATGATACAATACAAATAGATAAATAAATGTTGGGACATTAACACACAGCACCATCTAGTTCCATGGTAAGCTACGAGGCTTGTGTTATGGATACTAGATAGTTGATACACTACATATATATATATATATATATATATATATATATATATATAACTTTAAATACATACATATTATAAATATAAGCACCCATGACTGGAGTACAAACATTCGTGCTCATCACACAAATGAATGCCCCCAGCGGGACTCGAACCCGCAACCGCTGGCACAGCAAGTAGAGTTACTACACACTGAGCCAAACGTGTCGTCTTGATATTTGTTTTATATCAATAGTAAATAATAATGTCTCTGATACCGCTTTTGAAATGGCGGATTACATATTTTTTCATAATTCCCTTAATATGGGTATTAAATGAAAGGGCTTGACTAGTAGAATACACAATGATAAATTTCAAATCCAAGATGGCCGCCACCACATAATGGCGAATTACATGCCGGGGGGTTTTTAAATTTTTTATTTAATTTAGTTATTATTTCAGTAATAAATACATAGAACGCACATATAATACAAACTTATTAAATTATAGCAAACGAAATAATACGTTAGTTTTAGAAAAGCAAAGAAAATGAGTATATGTTTTTTATCGCATCGCTCAGATACATAATAGTAGCATACGTGCTACTCCAAGTCATGGACTATCTACGTACTAAATTATATTCAAATCTGTCTAGCCAATGATCACGGGAACTTATGTGTATAGATCTTGGTGTATGTTCTTGTATTATTTTGTGTGTGTGTGTGTGTGCGTGTGTGCGTGTGTGTGTGTGCGTGTGTGTGTGTGTATGTGTACGTTTCGCAATTAAATGATGAGAAAACAATTGCGTGGTAAGCGCGGGGATCAAGGGTATCATATGTCCAATCCCAAGTCCTAGCTAAATTTTATCGAAATATGCTCAAAGGCTTAACAGTGTGAAGGTTACAGATAGAGTTACTTTCACATTTACAATATTAGTATGGATTCATTAATATATATTACTTATTTATTATATCTAAAAGCAAGCTCAATTTAATATGAGATTCTAACACGAGTAAATATCTTTTGTTTGAGAATAGTGAAGCTATATACACTAATACAACCACGAGACAATAGACCAACCCCATTTGTAAAGTGGGCCGACTTTACACAGAATTGTAATGTTGCAATTTTGTATTATCATTTGTTTTTACAAATTTTGGAACTTTAATTCTTGCACATATTAAATGAAAGTATATGCTTATAAAAGAATAAACTACATACGTGTATTCGTTGTAGGGTTTTTTATTACTTTATTAAAAAAAATGAAAATAAATGGTGCATGTACGGCTGTCAATCCACAAGTCCTAGGTTCAAACCCGAGTGTATTATTTAGTTTTTGATTTTATTGCCATGAAATGTACAGTAATAGTTTCGAAAGTTATTGGGGAGTACCCGGTGTCTCAGAGTAAAGTCGTCAATCCTGCGCGTGCGCCTTCCAAAAGTCGCCAATTTGTGTTTGTGCGTATTCTTGTGCACCACAGTATCTCTTGTGTACACGGCAAATCAGATAGGCTGCCTTGGCATGAACCGGTCAGGGAAACATTTTATTATCAATGTGAACACCACGAGTTGAGATCATGTAAATGAGAAATATAAATTATATACAATTTGGATTATTTGAAGATTTAAGTAATAGCTTTACAATACTATAGCACAAACTGTTTCTACTATAATATACTCAGTACCTAATGGAAATAATCAAGAGTACGAAAATATTTGTAATAAATTTAGATATTATCATAAAATCTATCCTATTCTATAAATATACCAAAGATTGCCGTAGATTGCTTCCCTCATTACTGAGATTGCGTGATAAGTTACTGTTTAAAATCTTGCATTTCAAAAGAAAACCAAGAACTAACTACTTAATAGCAAAAGAAAATCAAGAATTAGTAGTTGACCAATTTAAATATTTGTCCTCTCAGAGTGAGAGACTGTCTCTCCCGTGACCATGATAGCTGTAAAGCATTCAAAACGTCGGGAACCAAAAATCAAAGTAAATTCACGTAAAAATTCTAAAAGATAATTTATTTAAAGTCAAATATTCACGTAAATATAAGAAATAATTAAATTTAAATGTTGTTACGCATACGGTGTGATGGTCAGACGGCTTATTCGCATCGGTGTGACCTTGACTCAATCGACCCGTTTCACGAACATTCCGACGACATTTCACCGTTTAATCCAATACCGTCTTTCAACCTGCCCTTTAGGACCTTATCTGATAAAGATGATAGAAAATTAGAATCTACCTTTTGAAATTTTTAGGCTCACAGATAACAGGTTTTCTGCGGAAATGTTCAGAATTTCCAGCGAATTGATGGAATAGATGGAAAGCTTTTGTTCATGTAGCTTTCAAAATATATAAGAAAATAAATAGCAAAAACTAAATTAGTGGTATTGCGCCACCGAAGAGTACCTAAAACTGTTTTTTTTAATAGTTTTTATTTATTATGATGTATATTATATGGCTAGCCTCGATGAAATGGGCCTTCGTGACCGAAATCGGTCAGAACTTTTTATATTATAAATATATGTATGTGTTTTTAGATAGTTTATTGATTGGAAAATTATAACCTCTAAGCGATCTACAATCAGGTTAGCCCCGGTACTAACATAGGTCTTATATTTATCAGTGCCTTCCGTAATAAATTGGCAATTACCGAAGAGATCCTGGAAATGTTCCTTTATTTTGTAAAGACATGATGATATAAGTTTAAATTATTGTAAATAGTATATATTATCTATGTACAATGTAAATATTATATCATAAAGTTTAAATTTATACATCTGAT